CCCATTTCATATATTCATAACTATGTATATACTTATACCTATTATCTTGTAAGCGACTGACAAATCAAATAAATAAATAAATCTCCCAACTATACAATTTTTAAATCAAATCCATTCTTTTATTGGTCATACTTGAAGCACATACCTTAGGGATACAGCAATCACTCTGTGGTTTCTACAGTTCTGCTTCATTTTCTTTATTACAATTCCAGTTCAGTCTTTATTCAACAAGCAAGTTCAAGCACATCTTGAAGTTCAGACACTCAATAAAAGGTCTCTTAAACATCTTCTACCTGTCCACCAAATCCCTCAAGCACACAAAGAAGTTCAGAGTTTCTCTCTAAAATATATTTCAAACAAGCAAGCTTTGGTTTTTGACCTTCTTGGATTAAGGGATTGTTATCACAGGATAAAAGCTGTGTAAACAAGACTACCTTGACTACTGAGGTATCTGAAACTCCACTATTCCCTCAGAGGACCTTCTCAGTCTGTACAGTATTTTCTTGTTTATATAAGTCTTGTCTTTCAGAAACCCTTAAACATGTCTGCGGCTGAGACAACATCAGACAACAAGGAAATAGTTAATTATTATTAAATTGGCATGAAGACAAGGAATCAGGCTGTCAAAATTTAGATTTAATGGGCATACATCCAATTACTGGATTAGCCCAAAGGACTACTGTATTTTGTTCACTAGGTCTAGGATCTTTCTCACACAGTTATTGGGATTATTGTATCACAAACAAAATATATAGATAGTTAATATTCAGTTGTGTTTTTTAGAAATGGGCATTCACAAGGCTTGTACTTCCAATTGTGATTAGTTGCCATTGAGTCATCATGGTGAGTGATTACTCTCTTATCATCCAGTTATTTCTTTCTTTCCATCCCAACATTATCAGATGAACTGGTAATCTGTCCATCCATTCTGGTCCTATCTGGTTGTCATCTGACACTCAGCTTCCTTCTCTTCTGTTCCTTCTTTGCGGGCAGTCAGAAAGGAAGAAACTGAGGGATCCTTGATATTCTCTGAGCTTGGTTGCTTCCTTGCAGACGCAACTAGCTGACATGATCAATGCCAGTGTAGGATTGATGATGTTACATAGTTGGGTAATGAAACATCTGGAAGAAAAAAACACAAACAAACAAACAACCCACCAAGTTCAGAGAGCCTCAAAGACCACATAGTTCAACCCTGAACTATAAAAAAATTCTCTTCTAACAGAAGAAACTGGATGCAAAGAGAATTATTTTTCTTATGACTTCCAGCCCCAATCTCGTAGGATTGTAACTAGCAAGGGCAATTAATGCATATGCAACAGCCTGTTCTTGTCAATGTTTTTCCCCCCAACATGGAGATAATGAAAGATGAACATAATTAACTTTATCTCTCATAGGGACAAAAAAATCCATGAGCAGGACTCATTTAGAGCCATGCTGTGGGTTCCAGTTTCAAAAGCCAGCAAAAATGAACCAGCCCACAAAACTAATACAGAGTCACTAGTTCAGGGAGCTAAAATAAAAGCTGTCTAGTTTATAGGTATGGGAGAGAAATAAATAAAATAAACACCATAAAAGAGAAAAGAAATCAAACCTAGGGATTGGAAAACAGGTGAAACAAGATCATTTATGAATCCAAAATTACACACACTGGCTAGATTGGATTTTCAAGTTATTTGTTTAAATCAAATATACCTAATTGAATTTGGAGATGCATTAACCCCAGTGTTGTTACAAAGGAAATACATGATTGAATGTGCAGGCTTATCAATTGGAGAAAGAGAAAGTCTTAATCAATAAAATGTGTATGCGCATATTAAACATTATGATGACATGAGAGCAATCAAGGGGGACCACTGGTGTATGCTAAATTTTAGTCTCCTTCCTTGGAGCTGCCGAAGTTTCCAGCACTTCAGGCTAGCTAGGTAGCCTTCCCAGAACATGGCTCACTTTATGAATAATCCCCCGGACTGAATGTCTGCCCCTCCTCTTTGGAAACTTGAATATTTCAAAACACACAAGTTAATTAACCTGACATCTGAATTGAATCAGCTTTTAAAGCCATTGCTTTTGTCTGCAACTTACAGAAATTCAAATATGTTAATATTTCATTGTCTGCTAGGAAATAGATATATATTAAAATGCATTCTCTTCAGTGAGTCAGAACCAAGTAGATAAAATTACTGCTGTAAAACATAGGAAATATATTCCCTGCCAGGACAGGCAAATATTCCTTTATGGTTATCTGCTCCTGGCTGGCAAGCACTTTATTTATTTACCGAATTCTGCTTTCATCAGGGTAGTACCCCAACCAGGCATATCTACTGGACTGTATATACTCATAAAAAGAGGAGGGGATTCAACTGAGTAGGCAATACCACAGTCTTGATTATTATTATTTTTACACACACACACACACACACACACACACACACACACTGTAGAGTCTTTCTTCTCCCCCACCCCTTAATTTGTCTGTCTTAGTTAAATACTGGGAAGGATGCTTCTTCTTTAAATAAACACTTACTCAACAGTGCATAATGCAATACATGCATTACTACAAAATGTAACATGAGGAAACATATTAAACATACACATGTGATTACACAGTTCAACAAAAAAAATTCTGTTAAAATAAATTTTGCTTTAAAGATTTATGAATGCATTAAACACTAATGTAAAATTCTCCATATTATAGTCTAATTGAGAAGCATGTATCACTCTGCATTGCTTATCGAGGTCCAAAGTTTAGCTTTTAACGCAGATCCCTGCCAGCTATTGTATGATTACATTGACTTATGCATTTGTTTGTTAATTTTTTGTGCTGTCAAATCCACATGGACTTACAGAAGCTTACAATCCATATAAAATATAAAATAGCAATGGTAGCAACACCATAGTAAAGCAAGATAATCATCCACAATAATAATTTACATCATGACCGCTATAAGGACTTCAAGATTAAACATTAAAATGCACACAATAAGATCAAAAACAGCCAACAACTTGACTAGGTCTATAAGTATCTTATACCATAAATTCATATTATCACTTCCATCCAAGATAACTATGAATGACCAAAACCCCTCCAGAACCATTCAATCCTTACTGCTTTTCAGAATCCCTAATTCATGAAGGATAATCAATACTCAATGGAAGGCTATTCCATGAAGCTTGGGTCATTACAGGAAACAACTTTTTTTGGATCACTCCAAAGGTCTAATTATTTTGATTCCATAATGGCCAATCAAGTACATGTGAATAAACCATAGGCAGCAAGCAGAAGCAAAACCCTCTGTAACCATGGTGTTCTCCAGCAATTGGGCCAGAGAGAAAAGTGTTTCCAATATAAGAAGTAATAATATACGGTCATCATAATTGGTAGCTTTTGACAGCCATATCAATAGCTTCTAGGCTAATGAAATTCATCACTATTGGAAAGATCACTGTTTTTCAACTTTGTGTTTGATTTCTTTATAAATAGGGGCACTGAGATTCCAGTGCTCTAAAATGAACCACCATCCATTATCCGCAGCATCTATTAGACATAATAATTAAATACATCCAGATGAAAGGAGATGAGTTCAACAGAAGAGAACATGCTGCTAGAGTAATTTGGATGTTTATATGGGCCACTGTTTCCAGCTGTGCTATTTTTTCCAGTTGCCAGCTGAAGATCAGTTTAAGACAGTGTTTCACAACCTGGATCCTTTGAAGACCTGTGGATTTCAACTCCCAAAATTCTTCAGTCAGCAAAGCAAATGTATAGACTTACTGGAGAGAGAAATCCACACATTTGGAGGGTGCTTGTTCTAGTACGTTTAACTAATGAATTGTGCTCTGAAGGTTTAATGCTAGCTTTCATACCCCAAAAGCTAGCTTAGATTTAAACCAGGGCAGTCAAACTCAATTTCATTGAGGGCTGCATCAGGGTTGTGTTTGATCTCGGAGGATCTGGGGAGGCATGGCCAGCTCAATGTCACTCATCAAGGGTCCAACTTTGGCCGCAACGGCCTCCTGCAGATCTCTGCGAGCAAAAGCAGAGCCTAGGGAAGATGTGCATGGCCTGCTGGGGACCCATTTTTGGCCAGAATGGTCTCCTGCAGCCCTCTGCTAGTGAAAACGTAGCTCGGGAGGAGCCCTTTGCAGGAGGCCGTCACAGCTGAAAATGGACCCTGGGCGGGCCTTCCCGAGCTCTCTTTTTGCTGGCAGAGGCACTGCGGGCCAGTCTGTCACTGTTTCCAGGGCAGGCCTGCGGACCAGATCTAAGTGTCTTGAGTTTGACACCCCTGATGGAACCAACCCACGCGTTAGGTTTGAGCAATAGCTCATCTATCTATAGCTATATTTCATGTTATATTTCAGGACCCAAATCTCTCAAAACAATTATTAGTTCCTCTCTAGGAAGTTGTATATGCTAGGCTCAGATATCTGTCTGCCAAGACCAACTTTTCTGACTCTTCAGAGGACTCTTTCATTATATGCTACTAGATTTCTAAGACTGACCCTAGGACTTTCTGGCATAATATGAGCATATGACTTACTGTTGAGTCTTGGTTGTTCCCTCATAAAGCCATTGCTCACCTGGGAAATTAGCCATTCCAGCTGAATTTGTCCCTCATGCACACTGAAACCCACAAAAGTCTAATTTCTGGTCCAATACTGCAACAATTAAAACAGAGAGGATCTTTGAAGCACTTTCCACTCCTTTTTTCAAAAATGCTAAATGCCTGTTTATTTATATATCTCCCTTTGGTGAAAAGGTCAGGAGAAAAATCACCTCTTTGGTCACCGTTGCTAAGCAACCTCTTTCAAAAGTTCTGCAACACTGATCAAGCATATTATGTTCCACTGACTGGCTTCAGAATAAATATGAGTAACATCTTACCTGTTCTACTTCAAGAAGCGAGGAAAGGTGCCCACTTCCAGGCAGATAGCCAGAGATCCAAAGCCATCTGTTACACTTGATATTTCCTAATCAGGAAAAAAAAAAAGGATACGGCCTGGGACCACAGGTTTTCTGTTCACAAATGCAAAAGACAGCTCTGTCTTCAGAAACACAAGAGAAGGCTTGATGAGATGTTGTCCAAAACGGAGTGACATGTTCAGCCCTTTTCTGTACAGAATCTGTGGAGGAGAATGTTGGAAAAGTTCATTTTATCTCATTTTATCATGCAAGCAAGATCACCGATAGGATCTTTTCAATTACTGAAGCTCAACACTTTTTTGTTGTTGTTCTGTTGTGTTTGGTTTTGTTTTTTGTTTTTTGCATTTCCCTGCTTGAATCTTCTCAAAGAAACATCTGTGTCTTGGGCAAGTGAACATTAGTTCGCAAGTTTTTCATCAGTGTATCTCTGTGCTAATTGGACATGTTTGATGTTTGCTAGAGGATGGCTGAGTAAACAATCACAAGCTTCCCTGTAGAAAAGAATATCACTTTAATAATAATAATAATAATAATAATAATAATAATAATAATAATAATATAATTGTTGATGTCTGCAAATTGCCTAGAAATAATTTGTATCCTAAAGGGAAAGATCTAGAAAACTGATAGCCTTGTCCACTGTACCTTATTAGTGTGAAATAATTTATGTAACTAGTCCTTCATTTTTCACATTCTACTTTAACAGGGCCGTATCTGGGTTGCCAAAATCCAGAAAGGCCAATAGTAAGCAGCAAAGAAATAGAACATAGAACAACACAGTCAGAAGGGACTTTGGAGGTCTTTTAATCCAACCCCTGCTCAAGCAGGAAACCTTATACAATTCTGGACAAATGGCTGTCCAGCCTCTTCTTGAAAACCTCCAATGATGGAGCACCCACAATTTCCAGAGATAAGCTATTCTATTGATTAACCGTTCTCACTTTCAAGAAAGATAAAGAATATCTAACAATTTATTGACATCTAATGATCATCAGCACTTCTGCAGCTCCCATTCGGTCATCTTGAACTAGCTGCTCCTTAGAGGATGACACCTTTAGCAGGGTCACCATCAGATCTTACAAGGTAGGCAAGTTCACTGTGGAGCAGGGTGTCTTGAAAATGACCAGACCCTGAACCATGCAAGGTGATAATCTGCATCTTGAGATCAACTAGGAATAGCAATCAAAGGATCAGAATAGGTGTTAGGACATCTAGCTTCTACTCTTTTAGGCACAGAAGCCAACTTGGGGATAGTCTTTTTTTTCCAGTCCTAGTCCAGGAAGTCAGAAATCATTCTGGACAAAGAGAAACCGAAGCATCGAAGCACTTCTACAATGCTACTCAAAAAACTGAATGGTCTTGTCCACGAACTCACCAGGAGCTAGCTACTAGAACTAATTTTAACAAATAATTTAACACCTGGAATGCTCTACCCGACTCCATTGTTACAGGCTCAAACCCTCATAGCTTCAACCTCAAATTGTCTACCGTAGACCTCACCCCATTCTTAAAGAGGTCCTTAAGCACACCAGCATGCCTACCATCCCTGTCTTACTGTCCCCATTTACCTGTATTTACTCCCTTTGTTCATGTTTATGTTCATACCTATACTTGTTATCTTGTACATGTTTGACAAACAAATAAAATAAAATATTTGTTTTTTAAAAAAAAATGCACTTGAATTGCACCTAGAAACTGACTGGCCACCAATGCAGTTCCCAGAGAAGAGGTGTTATACAAGTAACTTAGGCCACTGCATACTGAACCAATTTGACCTTCTGATGGGAGAAATTACAATTTGTCATTGTTGAGCAGGGTTTCTGTGATAAAAATAAATGTTTTCCAATAATGAAATTTTTGTTTCAAACAATACCTGTTCTGGCAACTGATACATCATTTTAAAAATGAGAGAAAGATATACCTAACTTTGTATGGCAAGAGGGGAGGGATAAAAATAAGTATATTCTTTTGAATCACCATTTTTATATCTACATGTATCAACAAGCTGCAAATTATCCATTCATTTTTAAAAAAAGAACCCTTTGGTAATCTCCCCTGTGTGTTGTTAACATTTTTCCCCAGATGTTCCATCTTTTTGTGGAGAAATACTCCATTCCAATCCCTGAGGAGATATCAATGTTCAAACTTAAAATCCAATAATTTATCCGTAAGTCTGTGGAGTTCTTGGTGCTCTCTGAGCTTGGTTGTATTCTTACAGATCTTTCATTACCAGCTAGATAAAAACTTCAGTGCTAGAAGGGACTCTTCACTTTCTTAAATATCTTTCGATTTAATTACTTTTCAATCTAAGAAAGATATTCTGAATGGCAATGAAAATTAAAGACTCTTGTGAAGTGCCTTCTTTTTAAAATTAAAAAGGGGAACAACATTTTAAAGGATTTTAATTTAAAAGCAAAAAGCTTAACAAGATCATGATCCAAGAAATTTTTAAATGGATAAAGGGGATAGTGATTTTTTTTAAAGGAACTTTTTTTTAATGAAAGTACCTTTGAAAATAACAAAATTAAGTAGATAAACAGACCAGATCTTTGTGGAAATGGTGATTATTTATTTTTAAGGGCAGTAAATAATTGGTGGTTTTTACAAAACAAGAAGATAAAGATAATATGTACTAACTATGAAAATGTAACTATGGAGAACTAATTGGAACTAAAGTGCTGAGCATAGGAAAGCAAAACAGGAGGAAAAAGAGAAACCTTTTACTTTCATTATTATTTTCATCAACGTGCTTTCATTTTCTCACAATGGCAAACCCAAGAAAAGCTCCTAAATTAGAAGAAGGACGTAAGGGTTCACTAGAATGACTTACAAATAAGGCATTTCACAAGATTCTTTGCAGAAAGTATTGGAAGAATTTGGCAAAGAGATGACTGCAACAGTGTAAAAAGGAAATGGAAGAAGGATTTGCAGGAATTAAAAAGAAGTGAAAAAAAGAAATTAAAAAAGTAAAGTATCTGTAGGGCATCTGGCTGCAGACTTGAAACAAATTACTGACAAAGTGAAAGTTTTGGAAAGTATGAGTTATAAATAGAGAGACCGACAAAGATTTGGACAATTTGTCCTTATTGGAACTGAGGGTAAAAGAATCTTGCTTAAGATTTATAGCAATTCCAAGACAACATGAAGAAGATATCTCAGAAAAAAATTGCTATGTCTCTGAGATGACACTAAGACACTAAGATCGATAAGTTCCATGAAATTAATACATATTTTTCAAAATTAAGAAGTGATTCAAGGGATGGCCTTCCTATCAGGAGGAAGGCAAGAGATCAAGTTTTACAGCAGCATTTTAATATTAGACAGAGGACTGACAATGCAGATGTAATTGTAAGGAAATATCAATTAAAATACTATGCAAGAGGAGAAAAAAGTATTTTTTCTGAAAAACTTAAACAGAAGACAATCGATGGGATATGTTGGAAGGGATATTTTCACTTTTGAACCATAGAGACTCAGATTGCAATCTGTGTAGAAAGCAAGTTTTTTCCCAAGATTTTAGAATAGAACTAAAGAAAATACAAATGAAAATGACAATGATAGGTGAGACCAAATAAATATCACAACAGATAAAATACAGTGAAAAGAATTCCATGTTGGGTGCTGCAGGTACATAAATCATGATGTAACTTTACAGAGAGAGGGCAAAATATAAAATGTATCTATAGCTACTGTCAAGAATATGAAAACACACTTCTTTACAATTTCTCTTTCCCTTTTCTGTCATTTATTTTTTACTTCTTCCTCTGTTTTTTTCCCCACTACTTAATATTTCTATTATCTGTCATGATTTTTAACCATTACTTAATTGAAATTAAATGCAATTAAATTAAATTGAAATTAAATGCAAATTAATAAAATTCAATAAAACAATAATAATAAACAATTATTATTTAAACAATAATAATTTTAGACTTTCTAGAATCTAGATGGTCTTCAAAGGCTGCCACGTAGAGCAAATCAGAAAGATGCAATTGTGAAGTGACAAAGACATGAATGAGTGTGACACTACATCATGGTAAAGTTGCAATTGAAGAGATGTTGCAATTGAAGCACAAAATGCAATTGGACAATATGAGCCCCTGATGTTTAAGCAGAAGGTGAGAATCCAGGAGAACTCCCAGAGAACAAAGCAACTCGACAAAGGGAAGTTCAACCTATCCTAAATTAGAAAAAGATGATCTCTGGAGTGAGAAAGCTAATTAAACAACCCATTTCCTCCTTGCACAATCTTGATTTATAACTTGGATGATGCTCAGTTAAAGTTCAGTTATAACCTATGAAGGAAGAGCACAGTGAGTCATGTGGGTAGGATGCTGGGTTGACGATCAGCAAGTCCGTGTTCAAGACCTGAGTGCTGCTGTGTGATGAGGTGAGCTCCCATCATTTGCTCCAGCTCTTGCTGACCAAGCAGTTCGAAAGTGTGCATTCACAATTAGATGGATACATACTACTTTGGTGGGTATGGGGACATGAAAGAACCTACCAATCAGATGTCCCCGGGCAACAGTGATGTCACTGGCTAATCCTTTTAAGTCCCCTGGAGCTTCTGACAAAAAGGCAAGCAAACGATGAAGGGGTAGTTAACATGGAATGTGGAACAGCTACAAAATTAAAAATGGGGAAATAAGGGCACAAAGGCAGTTTCCTATGACTTATTTAACTTATATACAGAATAAATCATGACAAATGGTGGAATAGGAGAAATAGAAATTGAAACTAAAATTGCTGGAAGAGACATTTAATGACCTTAAAATACCACATTGACTATTGGAAGCCAAGAAAAAAGTCCCTTACTGAAAGTACAAGATGGCCTGATATTTAATATTATAGAAGAAATCCACACCATGATCATGTCAGCATTGCGATTCAACAGTACCAAGCCAACACAAATAAGAAGCGAAGCTGAAAGTAGTAACAGACTTTATCTCCTTACTTCCCAAAATTCACAGGAATGACGCCTGTAGCCATGAAATAATAAGATGTCTGATACTTGGGAAAAGACTATGAGAGATCTAGACTACATTAGTGCACAGACATCACAATGACAACAAAGGTACATACTGACAAGGCCACTGTTTTCCCAGTTGTAACATACGATTGCAAAAGTTAGAATATCAGAAAATCTGAACAAAGAGAAAATGATGCCTTTGAACAGTAGTTCTGGAAAAAAATGTTCAAA